GGAAGTACCAGTGGTCAGCCGCCGTTCTTTTTCAAATTAATGGGTCACTCTGCGTTCGTTATCTTCAGAAATTTTTCAGAGTTTCAACTTACCTCGCGAACTGTTGTCCTTCCAAACAGAAAGTCTCGATATTTTTCCAGTAATCGCGAGACATCCATCCATCCAACCGAACCTCGCTGAAACAGACATTTTTTAACAGCATCGGAGGTGTCAACATGAATAATTTCCTAATGTGTCTCTGGGTATTTCAGCACCCAAAGATCGGTACTCCGTGAAATCCAGTACCAACAGAGCTCCCCTTGGGCCAAACGACAAGCCAATAATAACGGGCGGCAGGACTCTCATAATGTTTGCTATTTCTAGGAATTATTTAATGCGTCAGTGTAGAATTGTTGTTAAGTCATTTAGAGGCTATATAATCAGCAATAGGTCAGCGGGCGTATTTAACATTCCTCAGGAAAAACGCAAACTGCTGGCTACTAGGGTGCTACGGTGAATCTAATTAAAACAACAAGGCCGGTAAAATTACAAAGATAATGATCGAATGACAAACGAACCGCATATTTGACGTTTGAGAGGGTCATATGGAGCTTTACAGACTCCTCCTTGGGCGCAAATCCAGCGTCCCTCATCGCATTCGCTATTGCGTCCGCGAATTTTTGGAGTCTGAAGATATGAGAAACTATATTCACATACTTATCAACAGTTGCAGAAGTCCTTGAGCTTTACTCGAAGTCAAATGTAACTTAGTCAGAACTAGACTGAATCAAGTCTGGACTAGACAAGATCATCTTAAGGAGCTGGGCTAGCTATGTGGTGGTGACGGAAGCTAATACGGCCGAAGCAAGAATGTGTTCAGTGACCTTCATTAATAGCCCTACATGTGAATACGATGATATTTACGATCATACAGCCGAGAAAACGGGGACGATGCCTGATGTTACATCGATGACCATGTTGAACAGTGAAATCTGTGAACAAGGCTAACCTGTCCGAGGAGGCGCACGCATATAACACTCGGGCGCGCGTCGGATCATCATTCATGATATCAAGTCCCTTGATTTCAGCTTCCAATGGCCTGCCTTCGAGGATGCTGCTAAAATTTAAATTTTCGTTTTAGAAATAAATTTGGCGCATCCGAAATCTTCGTTTTACCACTAACTGTTTGTCAAAGCGACACACAAATTCCTGGTGCCAGCAGCTATTCCCGCTTGATAAATAATTGATGATGATCAGTGCCAATAAACTTGCTATACGATCGTCTTTATTCAAAAAAAATCGTGCGATTTTCGGCTAAGCGCACATGGCAGCACCAATTTCTCATCGAAACGACTCGCAAAAGACTGATTTTCCTCCTCGATCCTCAGTGCGACAGCATTGGTACATCTCGTTATTGCCATTCATATCGTACATTCATATCGTATGTAGGTAATTGCCTCGCAGCATTTCCGATTCAAACACCTCCGCTCTTCATCTTGTTTTTTGAGGGAAAACGTTCAAAACAGTGCCAAGAAATAGTGAATATGAAGAATACAAATTTACCCAACCTGACACTGTCTCCAATCGCTCTGTCCAGAGCTTTTACTGCTTCTACTTCTTCCTCCTTCTCCAGCAGCGTGAGCATCGTTAAGGTTAGATGCAACCTTGCCGGTTTCTGGAATGCTGCAGCTAACCTGCACGACTCCTGTAAAAGACGTGCCAGTAAGCGCGACGAACCCCGCTATAAGCAGATATAAGTATGGTGAACTTAGTGATTTTCGAGGGATTATGAGTTGCGGATAGCTCGTGGCTTATCCATCGAAAAATGGATAAGCCACGAGCTATCCGCAACTCATAATCCCTCGAAAAAAATGGACCTCAAATCGCGTGGTTCTTTTCTACTCTACTTTTGCCCTGATATGAATTAGTTCTCCGTATTTTGAGGCAACTCATTTATTTATTGAGATTTTAAATGCTGTGTCCTCGCTTCCCCCTGCCTTTCCCCTCGCGCCCTGAAACCCAAGCTAATACACTTTACTCGTTGCTGGAGAACAAAATTGGCTTTTAGAAATGTAATTGTGCAATGACCTCACACTTTTCACTTCTGATTTACTCTAATTAATTACCTTGCCCAGCGACTAGCCTACTGGCGATCCTAGGGCTAGTTTCGTCTTCTCAAGGGATTAGTAGCTAATCTATTTTCCCAAATTATGAATTTTGACAAAACCTTAGTAGTCTCGAGATTGTTTAAAGTTGGGCAACACTATCTCTTTTCGAAAGCTACCAATTTCAAATCACGACTAGGAAACATCAATTGAAAAACACATGATTTAAAAAAAAATGCACTACCGGCAATTCATCGTCCTGCTGCACCATGCGACAAAAGTCGCAGAATCTCCTCTTGATGCCTCCATAAGCCATTGAAAGCGATACGAAGTGCGTGAAGCCGGCGCGATGCCGCACTTCACGCATTATCAATTCGATTCTGTCTCGGCAAAGCAAAACACTGCCCTCCGAGACAGAAGATATGAGCTCTGCAACATAAAAAAATTTGTACAAGCTTAGATTTTAATCCATTAAAATCTAATGCCCCTAAACCGTGAACACTTTCTTATGCATAACTGAGGAATATAAAGAATCATTTCCGAGGAATCTCGTAAATCAAAGGTAAAGTAGAGCTACCCGGGCATCTCACGCTATTGATATTGCTGAGAGGCTCACAAGCGCCGACTACAGCTATTTGTGGCCCTTCAGTCCTTGGTTTCATACATTCAATTAGCAACCTATCGCTTGTTCGATATATTCGCGTCACCGGCATATACTTTATCTGAGCAACTTTTCACTTCCTCGTGAGCACCACCGGTTAATGCGCTACAACCACCGGCTGCCGGCAAGTCAAGTGACATGTCCAAGCCAATGCATTTAACTTTCCTACATGATAACATCCTGCATGCCGCTCATCTGACGGAATGTCTGATCCCGTGAAATTTTCCAGGAGGGCTCAATTTACCATTACACTTTAACCAGGCAAAGTTGAAAGTGGACATTTTTACTTTGGCTATTCTCAAGCAAAAAATAGGTAGAAATTTCCGAAACATGAAACATTTGAAGAAATTATATAAACGGATTAAAATAGACATACCTACGGGTTTCTCCGTGTCATCCTTATTTGGGAATACAACACGACATCTGGTCTGTTGTTGTATTCCCTTAATGATCGAGCCCTGGGGCCCGATAACAAACCCACGCAGTTGGCTCGGGATTTTTATCCTGAAAAAAATCAACAGCTAGATTGAAAAGCATCTGTTAATTTTGACGGTAAAGGCAAAATCCAGCCACATTTCACCCTTTGCTTGAGGCTGCAACAGACAGAGGTAGTGCCCAGCTGTGCTTACTCGCATCAACACCAACCAAAGGACTCGCTTGGATTTAAACTAGAAGTGTGTGACGCTTACGAAGAAATCTTACCTGGCTGACCAACTTCTCCTTGTGCTGTTATATTCAACAGCAAAAGGCCTGCTGCCAAAGTTATCCATTATTAAAACTCCAGAAATATTTTTATTAGGCGTTGTTGTTGTTAACCGTTAATTAGCGAATAGCGTCTGCAAAAATTTTCCACCAATCAGATATTCTGAACCAGAAAAAAATACTCGCGCAACGCGCCAAAAGGTGGGCTTGAAAATTTGGACATCATTATCAAGTGTTATTTGATAGTACCTACACTCTTAAAGCTACTTTGCATATGGACGAAGTTAATTCAAAAGAAGTTGACAGTTACTTTCCTCTTGGACAAGATAGCTGGAAAACACTGCCCTAAAATTCCAGCTTTCAACCTTTTCTGATTCTTGAGTTAGAAAATTTTCCATCAGTATCATTCACGTTCCTTATTTGAAAGATTTGAATTGAAATTTCTTTGACTATAAATGGACAGAAAACATAATTTTACTGCTTTCTACCTTAAAAGGGGCCCCAACAAAAAGATTTCATCAAGACCTTCTCTGAAATTTGTTATATCCGAACGAGAAATGCGTGCATATGAAAAATCCATGTTCAAATTCCCAATTCTGCTTCTGCCTTTGATGCATTTATATCTAAGGACGTGATCTGGTCATAATTACTTGTAAATCGCAAGATAATTAGC